ACCACCCGCACGTGAACTACTACCATGAGCTTTTTATAATCCGTACATCAACCACCACCACCAACCATCACCAATGGTTGCAAAAGTAGAAACAATATCAAAAGAATCCTCAACAATTCAAAGTTTTGTACCTATGGTTAAACTAATTGAAAATGAATTGAATCTATAAGCGTAATCCCAATAAAATAACCTGCTTTCAGACATGTCTTTCACATATTAAGTAGGTTAACATACACCACAACAAATTTTACTTTTTACAGCATGCAATTTCTTTATGGCGTACATGTGCATGTCATATAAAGTCTTGCCGTAAATGCTCACATCCTTTTATAGCACGCAATGCACGCCGTAAAAAAGGAGAAGCACACCATTAATGAACTTTTTACGGCATACTTTTATTGCAAGTCGTAAATGTCGACTTCTTTTTCTTTTCTTTTTTTAATTAATTATTTATTTGATTACCAACAAACCTATAATAATTAAAAAACAAAATTATGTATATCGGTCCAATATAATCATGTATTCCATAATTTTAATGAACAAAAATACTAAGTGCGATCCAATACAATTTACGAAAATGTAAAGTTAATTTAAATAATCACTAAGAATATAATTAACCTACTCAAAAAGTTGATAGCAATACGCCAAAAGTACGAACTACTACTCCAAAGATAGTTGATTAACGTATTACAAAATAATCAACCCATATCAAAGTTTGCTTCTTTGATCCACAACTTAGCTATCCCAACAATAAGCAGCTACTTGCCATCACAAAAAAATAATAACAAATTTAGATGTGTTTTTCGTAAATATCCATTCAAAATAATGCTTAAATTATTTACATGACTTAAAACATATAAATGCTTAAATAAGATTGACAAACTTGCTTCTTCATTGGAGTTGAAAGTTGCAAAGAAAACAGATATAAAATGAAAACAAACAAGTTTCAAGATTTAATAACGTGAATAAAAATCTGATGGGAAAATCCAGTTCACCGTTTTTCCGATATCTCTCTCAGTATATACAATATATTGAGAACCAATCTCCATCAAACTTATCCGTTGGCTAGTTGATACATTTGCTTCAGAAAATTGTTTTACGTACCAAGGCTTTTTTCGCATTTGAAACATGCCATCTTAACATGTGAACTTTAGTAGGTGTTGTGAGTGTACGATTATGAGACTCAACAAAGATCCAATTTGGAGATGATTTTAATATACTCATTAGGGATGGCAACGGGGCATAGTCGGGGCAACCTCCCCCGCCCCGTTACCCGTTTAAGGCAGGGGGGGGGGGGGGCAAGGCCCTTGTCCCATTTACTACCCCATTTAATTTTTTAAAAAGTTTTTGATAATTTATTTTTATTGTCCTCATTCATTAGATTTAGACAAATAATTTTAGTCGTCATTTTCTATTAAAACTAATGAAATTTCGTGAAATTTTCCATTTAAAGTATTGAATTCTAAAAAATAAAAAAAAATTTAAACGGGGCGGGGCACTCGTCCTCGCCTCGGGGCAAAATTCCCTCCCCACCCCGTCTCCGACCCGAATACCCAATTAAGCCGGTTATCCCTACCCCGTTCAGAGGAGGCTCGCGAGTATTGGGTTTGTTAGGTTTTTTTGTCATCCACACTACTCATAGTTAATTTAGCCTTACAGCCCACCCGAATGATTCCTCGATGTCTTTCACCTGTACGTTCACCTGTGTATTTAATTTTTTTATATATTTGTCATCTGTCACTCCGTTGTAGCAAACAAATTGTTTCCAATTGCGTTTGTTCGTGCCCGGCCTCTTCTTATTGTTAAAACAATCTAGCATTGATCTAGCTTTTCTTGCATATTTGTTATAAAATTCATACGCACCTTCAGTTGTTTCCTCCGCAACTTGTGGTGTGAATGTTTTAATTGAAGTCTCGTCTTCCATGATAAATAAGGTTACACACGTAACCTACAAAATAAAAACAATTTAATTATTTATTGTTTCCACATTAAATTGATGTATTTATAAGAAAATCTTGATTATCTAAATATCCAGCAAATCTGTGAACATCGTAATAAAAAAAAAAAAGACAATCACAAACTACGTGTAAGGATGGCAACGAGGTGGGGAGGCCCCCCGCTAAGAAATTTTCCGTCCAGTCCTCACGCCGTTATCCGTTTAAGGCGGGGCGGGGGCCTTGCCCCGTTTAATTTTTTTTTTTTTTATAATTTATTTTTATTGCTCATATTCATTAAACTTAGACAATTAATTATAGTTGCTGTTTTCTATTAGAATTAATGAAAATTTTTATTTAAAGTATTGAATTCTTAAAAAAAAAAAAATTTT